TTATTTACTCTATGTGATTAGTATGGTCTTTTGTCTATCATTTTGTTTAATTATTGTCAAAGGGGGTGGGGGAAAAGGGGGATGAATCATTGTTGTAGGTTAAAATAAGCGCATGCCAAACGAATTATATAACTAAGAGTCCGTTTGTTTTGGGTTATAAGGGATGGGATTCGATTAAGATGGATGTGGAGTCTATTAATATTGTATTTGTTTGCAAAATAGGTAAGGGAATTCACAATACCTTGATATTATGATAGGTTTCTACGGATGGGATTAATAGTCCCCAATGGGAGATAGTATTAGAAAACAATCCCTTGGGATTAGAAGGGTATTTTTTATTTTGCCTTTTATTATCCTACCTAATTTATTTACTCTATGTGATTAGTATGGTCTTTTGTCTATCATTTTGTTTAATTATTCCACCATTTTTTATATCAAAATAATTTAATATAAAAATATAATAGTATAATAATATTTATACCCAAAAAAAATTATATTAAAAAAATAAAATAGTACCAAAAAATATATATATCTATGAAATATAATTTTTAATATTAAAATATGTAATGCATTTATTAATTGGTATAACTCCAGATTTAATAATAATGTAACAAGGGTATTTGTGAAATTTTACATGGTTAATCTCATTCCTATCTGGCAAAATAAATTGGAACTATTGCTAATCTATTGGTTATCAAATAAATACAATTTTTCTTAACCCCCTCACTAATAATTTCATCCAACCTATCTCTATGTCTGAAAACAAACGGCCCCTAAAGGTATACAAGATAAAATTCTCTGTCTACGTATACACTTGCCCACGTTTGTTTGACGAATTAAGTTGGATGAGATTGCTAGGGAGAGGATGATTAGTGAATAGATTGTTAATATGAAGATTATTAGTGAGGGGATTAAGTAAAAGTGTGTTTGTTTTGATGATAGTATAAGAGATGATTAGTGATGAGATTGTTAAATTATTTTTATATAAAATAAATAAATAAATTATTTTTATATTAAAAAAATAAAACGAATATTAAAACAAACAGGTGCACTTGCTAATTTTTTTTTAAATTTTATATATATATAAAATAGACTCAATTCCTTCACTATTTTCCTAATTTCACCCAAAACTTAACCAGGCTAATCCCCCCAACTATTTTCCTGTGGCAAGGTTTGGGAAGTGAGTTTGGATGGATTTGGGGCTAAAATAATTACAAAAAAAAAAAGAAGATTTTTTAGCCCGAATAAGACAAAACATCACATCCACTCATAATCATTACATTCTTTCTCTTACAAGAAAATCAAAAAAGTCAAAAATCATTCCCAAATTAGATTTTTTAATCCCACGCTAAAAAAGTTAAAAAAATCAACTCGCTTTCCAAATCAAGCCTAATTCTACTCAAAACTTAGCCAAATTAATCCCCTACTAAGAAAATTACTTAGACTATCCATCCATGTTCTCATTTCATTATCAAATATATTGTAGATGAAAACCTACAACCATAATAGTTCAACCCAATCACTCTAAAGGATTTTTTAGAAAATGGTTTATAATCTACTTTTTCAAATTATAATTCACTTCACTCTCTTATAAAAAAATTAATTATAATGAACTTTTAATAAAAAAAAAAATTAATTATAACCATATTTCCAAGACGCCAAACAAACGTGAACCTAGAAAATTCTAAGTATAAGCACCCCCTTTTAACGCTCGTTATTTTTGCCTTATCATGCGAAAGAAAGAAGACTAGGGGGAGATGGGGGATTTGGAGAGAAGAGGAGCCACCGAACAAGCCCAGCCAGTCGGACTCTGATCTTGAATATATAAATATATGTGTACTAGTAGTGTGTAGTGTCATCTCTTCTCTCTCTCTTTCTATTTATCTATCTATCTAAATATATATATATATATATACGTAACGCCCCCTGGTGGATTCGTTTGAAGAGAGAGAGAGAGAGAGAGAATGAGTTATGCTGCGGTTGTGGGACTTCCCTCTCTTGTCAATCTGATGAACTATTCAGACAATAATAATGTCTCTGTTAATACATTTCCCCATAATATTTGAGTCTCTTTTTCTGTATTTAATATACCGAATTTGAGCATATTTTTAAGTGCGTATTTTTTGGGGCAGAATTCAAGGGGGGAGGATCCTAAGCAGTTAATAATAATAGAGGGGAAGCAGCAGCAGCAGCAGCAGCTCACTGTACCTGTACCACCAGCTTATAAGTGGCGCATGCTTATATCCTATGACGGTTCTCGATTTTCAGGTTCTTTCCTTACTTAAATCTTGTCTGAATTAATTAGTAACATACATTACGTACATATATAATTCATGTTAATAAAATGGTCCATTCTTTGTGATGGGGATTTTGCTCCTGATCCTGTGCATCATCTGTTCTTCCCTATTTTATGCAAGAGTTGATTTCATTTTGAGGCTAAGTTACTTTGACAAAATGGAATTTTAGTTGTTCTTTTTTGATGGGGATGCTTTGAATTAATGATATTGAGAGTGTTTTAGGCTGTGGCTGGCTGTCTGTGTTCTTCTCTTGAATATTCTTTTCTTCTTGAATCTTGCTTCTCTTCTTTTGGAACCATTCTCCATATTTTTTGGTCTTTGGAATCAATTGAATCGCTGAAGGGATTTCTTAATAGGCGTTCTACATCACTACTCCTTGAACAAGCATCTGTTGTCTTCATTTATTCTCGGATCTCCAAGGTTGTGGCTGCTGAGATTAGAGTTTTTTGTATGCAAATTCTTGTGAGGGCGGCCTCTACTTGGGAATGCCTTGGTTTGTTTGCGATAGTATTTTCAGGGTTTGAAGGGTTTTTTTCATGATCCAGGTTGGAGCTTCATTCTGATTGCTAGGGTAGTGTTCGTTAGGCTTCTGCTTTTCAGTAATTCTTCTTTAATTCTCAATTAAAATGTAGGATATAGCACTCTCATTCTCTTATAGACCTTGTGTGTGGCAGTGGCAAACATGAATCACGTGAATTCTTTTTCTTCTTCCCGCTAGTAAGATAACACTACATCTGGCACATAGGTTTGGCTTCTTCAATTCTGTTTTTTTTTTTTTTTTTCCTTTGTTCGGGCTTACAAAAATGTTTACGATTCCTGAAATAACTCTTGTTTCAAAATTCTATGCTTTCACTTGGTGTTGTCTTGAACGTTATGTATGTTGTTCAGGTTGGCAGTATCAGCAGTCTCCACCAACCATACAATGCATTGTGGAGAAAGCTTTAACCCAAATAACAAAACAAGAACGGAGGGATCTCCATTTAGTTGGTGCAAGTAGGACGGACACTGGAGTCCATGCTTGGGGTCAGGTCTGACTCTTTCTTCATTATGCTTTTTGTGTGGGGATTCTACAAGCATTATCCAACACATAGGATGTGAATTTAAGTTGTGTTTAGCTTTCAGGTGGCACACTTTGTTACGCCTTTCAACTATGACAGATTGGAAAGCATTCATGCAGCCCTAAATGGTCTTCTTCCTTCAGATGTCAGAATTAGAGAAATTAGCGCTGCAGTGCCTGAATTTCATGCTCGCTTTTCAGCAAAGAGCAAGGTTTATCACTACAAGATATATAACAATACCATCATGGATCCATTTCAGCGTCAGTATGCTTACCATAGTGTTTATAAACTCAATACCAATGTCATGAGGGCAGCTGCAAAGCATTTCCTTGGGAAGCATGACTTCTCCGCTTTTGTAAATGCATCACGCAATGATCAATCACCAAATCCGGTGAAGAATATTTTCCGCCGTGACGTAACTGAGATGGTAATTGTGAAGCCCAACAGCAATGTACCTCAAGTTAAAAGGGTCGTAGGATTTCTGGGTTTCATCCTATTAGCCCTCCTGTATGAATGGATTAGCAGTTCCACCATAGATTACACATCCTCCCCTATTTTTTGCGATTTTGTTTTTTTGTGTGTTTCTACTAGTGATAGTTTTGAATTTGATGGTTGATTGTGTTGTTTTTTAGGGACCTCTTGTGCAGCTTGAAGTTGAGGGCTCTGGTTTCTTATATAGACAAGTGCGAAACATGGTATGCATTCACAACTACTGATTCAAAGATTCTATCATCTCATTTATCTGCTTTATTACTGCTGTACTATGGTTTATTCTTGGCCTTGTTAAGTTGATTATAGTTGTCATGATCTTGAAGTAATATTTCTTATTGACATTCTAGGAGCTAGCGATAGTGGGGGCATGTGGAACATGATATGTGAATTTTAAACATCATTTTAATAATCTACTTTTTTACAGGTTGCTTTATTGCTGCAAATAGGGAGGGAAGCAATTCCACCAGATATTGTCCCCAGGATTTTGGCAACTCGAGATCGCAAGGAGCTTGCAAAGTATGCTTTATCTGCTCCACCTCATGGTCTGTGTCTTGTAAGTGTCAATTATAATGAAGAACATCTGCAGCTTCCAACAGCTTGCCCTGCAACTAGTTTCGGTAGGCATCATAGCATAAGGAAATGCAAGCTTCCATTTTTTTAAAGGAAATTCATTTGTAAAACTGAAAACTCAGAAGGAAAAAAATCAAAATGCAAGAATTGTGTTTAAAATTCTCCGAGAACTTGCCCTTTTAGCAAGCCAGGTGGCATCGTGTGTCATACGTGATATGCAATAAAGGGATTTATTTCTCTTAATATTAAAATGTTTACATCGTAGCTGAGAGGTACCCTTGCTTGATGGAGCTCTACTCTGCAGCTTAAACATTTAGATGAAGTTTTTTAATGTTGAAAAGTTGCATATAGGTGTGAACTCGTGGTGGCATGGTGCAATATATGAACTACTTGGAACTTCGGAAGTGATAAAATGGCTGTTGTTCTGCTTGTAAGGAACCACTGTCTAGTCTGATTTGAGCAGGAGGAAACAAACATTTATCAGGCCATCGGTCAAGATAACAGCTATGACTATCTGATCAAAGATACCACCCACCCAAGTATGAAAGAAAAACAAGCAAACCTCATACACACCCTTTCACAAGTATCAGTATCTAGTATTCGGTTGCCAAAACAGCAGCTGGGCAAATTTAAAAATATCACCTTTGCCATTTCTTTTCCATTCAACACACATTGCACATAAAATTAGTAGTAATTTCCAACATGACACGACAAAATACAATGTTGCGGCAAAAATGAATATCCAAGCCTGTAAAAAGGCAGGACTGTATTGCATATACCAGAAATTGCATAATTCAAAACCACCACTCCAGTTAACCGCTGCATCGACTTGTTAGATGGTGAACGGAGTGGATAGAGATATCTGCATGGACAGTGTCTTCCTTGAAAGCAGAAAACACTAAAAGGGAGGGGGAGAAAAGAAAAGCAACTGAAATGATAACAAACTGAAGAAACATGATTTATGTCTCAAAAAAACGAAGCTCTATCATAAACTCTTGCTGCTTCAGGGAATACCAAGCCACAGCCTTTGCTGACCCAAGAACTTGCAATGCATATTCAATTGCAAACACAGGATCATTCACACTTACATGCCAGCCACTGTTCTTGTAATTGAGTGCCACTCCTGAATCAACTTGGAAACTAAAGGCCCAGCAATCTGCATTTAAGTATATGTAAGATGTCATAACTGATCCCCAAATTGATATTAATTCATACTGAACATGATGCAAACAAAAATTTGAAGTATTCCCAATCAAATTCTACCACAGAATCAATTTGAGATTCATGAGCGCTGATACCAAGACAATTTCTTAAATGGTTAAAATTATAACACAAATTTCATCATAATTTCAGACAAGGCACAGAAAGGGAGACTTAAATTTTCCTTGGCAATCAAAAAAACAGGAGACTTAAATTTTCCCTGGCAATCAAAAAAACAAAGTGCAAAGGAGGTCAGTTCAGTACTGAAACCTTAACAACTACATAGAAAAATACAGTGCTAACTCAGAATGAATGCCTTCTGTTTGATTCGAAGCCAAAACCCTGTTTGGGAACCCCTGTTGCCCACAATATCAAGGTTCAAATTCAACACCTCCAAAGTACAGAATCATGTCTCAAATTAATTAAATTAACAACCAGAAACATACAGAAGCATATTTGAAATTGCAATTTAAGTTTGATACAGAGAAGGAACAAACTAGAGTGCGATATCCAATCGATACTATTGCCTTTTCCACTCACTTTTCAGTGTCAATTTTATTTACAATATTATAGCATAAAAAATAAACATGGGAGGTTGGCAGAAAAAGTAGGTACCTGCTGCTGAAGTGAAAGGGTGGCTTTGGGACAAATTGCCTGAATTGCTTCCACACTTGGCTGACGAGAATTGTAAAGATCTTGAGCCAGATGAGTGGCGCCTGAAATAAATTTTGAGCCAGAAGGAAAACTCACGCAGGCGTAAAATCGAGTAAGATCTAGGAATAACCTTTGAAAGTTTCCATACTGCACAGAAAGTGAAATGGATGCAAATATATCAGCCAAAATAGTAGAATTTACTACTGGAGCACGAAGAGTTAGGCCCTTAAAAGGCAGTGAATCTTCTCCTCGTGATCTGACTAAATTATCTCCAATACATGCCGTTAGAGCAGCACCTGTAAAGATAATCATGCAAACAATAAGGGTTCAAAATATTAGGTAAAAGGGAAATGTATGTCAATTTAGCAGACTATGATGACTTCCATGATGCTCAAAGACAAAATAAAATGACTATAAGCAATTGATTGTTGTGGGCATTTATATCACGCCTAGTACGTGACGAGTCCCACAGGCATCACGTCATCTCCACCGTCACCTCTACGTAGTAGTGACTCTAGAAAGTTTTTCTAATGGGGTCAATGAAAAATATAAGCAAAACAAATTCTAATAATAATAATAATAATAATTTACATATATATCATCTATTTCCATTAAGTTGATAAAGAATTTAAAATTTCAAACCACAAAAAAATTAAAACTCCAATGCATTCATTCGAATGCTTTTTCAAAAGGTTACAAGTACATAAACTTCTGTAACTACCCTCAACGAGGTGTTTTATTTTGCCTAAAATTATTTTGCTTTATTTATAACGGAAATTCTATAATACACATCACAAAAAGGGGTGTACCATTTGTTTAGTTACAACTTTTGTGATATTACTCATTACGGTGTTGGTTATAACTCATTGTAGTATTGGTTATGACTTAGTTATGACCATTTGTGGTTGTTATTTTGGTTGTGATTGAAAAGAGATTTTTTGTTATGCCTCAAGTGGTGTTTAGTTATGATTTATTGTGGTGTTGGTTACAACTTGGCTATGACACATTGTCGTATTGGTTATGACCTATCACGGTTGTTATTTTGGTTAGGACTACAGAAGTCTTTGGTTATGCCTCAAAGGGTGTTCAGTTATGATCCATTGTGGTCTAGGAAGCACGGATACTCCAAAATGGCCCCTGTACGTGTATCGGATACGGATACACATCCGATATATGTATCAGATACGGCAAAAAAGTATCCCATTTTTTTTTTAATTTTTTGAATTTTGGATACGTTTGGGATACGCCAAGATACTTCAAGGATACGCTTGGGATACTTTCGGGATACGATGGGGCAGAAAAATAATTTTGAAACTTATAACTGGGGTCAAAGTGTAAAATAACAAAACTATATCTAAAATAAAACAAAAAAAATTAAACAAACCCTACCTAGAGGAGTCATCGAACAGCAGCAAGAGAGCCACCGTCTTTGAATCGCGAACAGCAGCAAGTCGCTGTCCTCGTCATTGTCGTCGATTAAGGTTCATCACTCTCACTCTCATTCTCTCTCGCTCGATCTCACACACTCTCTCTCTCGCTTGATCTATCTCTCCCTCTCTCTCGCTCGATCTCACTCATACTCTCTCTCTCTCTGTCTCTCCCTCTCGCTCAATCTCACTACATATTTGGGAAGAAAATAAGCAAAACATGAATTGAAGCATAAAAATTATGATCTGATATCCAAAATTTTAAAATAGAACCACTTTTGAGGAATGTAGTAGCCTTAGGAAGTACTTTCTAAGTCTTGAAAAGAGTAATGTGAGAGCAGGGCTTTGAATACTTGCCATATTATAATATTTTAATTCAGTTTTTCGGTTTTATGTGTATACATACTTCATTACTAAAAATTATAAAAATAATATTTTTTACGAACGTATCCAAGCCATGCCCGTATCCTAGTTTTTCACATTTTGCCGTATCACCGTATCCGTATCGTATCGTACCCGTATCCGTGCTTCCTAGATTGTGGTCAAGGGCGTAGCTATGTGTCGTTTAGTGGGTTCAATTGAACCCACTGAACTTTCAAATTGTTTTAGGAATATATAGTATTATGTAAATTTTTTGAAAGGTTTTTATAAATTGACACCACTAAAATTGTTAAAAATAAATAATATGGTGTCAAAAATAATTTATAAACATAAAGTTTATACAAAAAACACATCTAAAATGATATGTTAAAAATATTTTTGAAATTATGAAAACAATAGTGGATGTTTTGATTGAAAATAAAAGGGCAATAAGAAATAAAACTTCTGTTTATATATCATTTCTTTTTCTTTCTTTTTTTTTTTTTAAATCTTTTAAAGTAGAACTTAGTTGAGAGTTTACCTTCTTTTTAGACATGAGATTCTTATGTGTTTACGGATTTTTTCCCCTCACATTAAGGCTTATTTTGTCCTCTATTTTTTTTTTCAATCAATATATATACAATGTTATTGTTGTGAATATAATAAGTTTTGTAGAATTAAAATTATGAAATAATGATATCGATGATACCATTGAAATAAATTTTTGGTCATGCCACTGATTGTTTTCCTTTTGATTATAACCAAAAATGGTTTGGTTATGACACAAAGTGGTATCAAAATCACAAAAGGTCATAATTTACATACAATACACAACAAAATAGTGGCGTGTATTATTGTATAAACTCCCTATTTATAAGACTCTTTAAAATAAATGTGTATATATAAATTTTTTCTTAATGAAATCTTTAAGTCCAGTGGGTGACCCCGCGACAACACATGCAACGTTGCCAGTACCTCTAAGTGGCAGACCACTGAAGCACCACGATGTCATGATTGGATTAACTGGAGTTACATACTTAGCCTAAGCAAGGCATATACACCACCAAGTATGGCTGCTAGGCACACTAGCATAGTCACCTCTCTAACAAGCCAAAGCACCGTAGTGAATGAGTCAAATTATGAAGAGCTCGATGTACTGCTCGCAGAGCGATCAGGAGCATCGCTCGAACCCAAGCATGCCTCCACTCAGTCACTCCTACTCGACAACATCATAGCCCAACCCTTTGATCGCTTATATCTCCCCTATGAACTCACTCCCTTAGTTGGGATCTATGTTACATGAACTCGGGTACGAGTATCGGGTGCAGGTTATGGGTATAGAGACACGTCATATGCACATATATATTGCATATTATATAATATTCTCAGATGAGATGTTGTAAATTATATAGAAATATACTAAAAATTAAATAGGATTTAGAGAAAATATAAAATTTCTATATCTAATTCATGTGAGAGGCTAAAAATATTGCTCTCCTAATAAATGTAAGTTTCTTCTTCTCCATGTATTGTCACAAATTAAAGGATCTGAGTATCTAAATTGAGTACGAGTGTCGGACACATTTCCTACACCCTTACCCATGTCATATCCAGTGGGCATGGGTACTCTGGGAGAAATAGAAGAGTCCATGTAACATAGGTTGGGATTACTTGCTACATACTGCTATCATAGTCATCACTTGGCATCCTAGGCTAGAAGCAGGGTCCACACATTCACTACTTGGATTATTGAAGGATTGTGAATTGGAAGCTAGGATCATGGGTTTGTCAAGGTTGCTTGGTTGTCTCCCAAGGGAAGACGACTCCTTGATTAGTCTTAGAGAGAGAGAACATTGACCTAACACTCACGCATGCGTCATGCGATGAGCCATGATACACTTATCCCTACCTGTGTAGCTCCTATGATACAACCTTCCCAAGGTCTAAATCATATAATGCACGGATAGACCTAATACCTCTACTCTGTTGAGTCAAGGAGAACTGGCCACCTATCCATAGGTGACATGAGCTCCAAGGTGCTTGCTTGGCCTATAAAGTGGTATCTATGCACACAGTCAAACACAACAACTTAACACACAACAATCATATATCTCCCATAACTCAGGTGTCTAAGGTCTCTCAAAAACTATGCGCCCAACCAATGCACACATAGGCCCTGTTTGGTAGAGCTTATTTCCAGCTTATTTTAGCTTTTAGCTTAATTTAAGCTATTTTGATGTGTTTGGTTCAGTTTAATAATATAGCTTATAACTTTTTGTAAGTTAAAAATCAGCTTATGTTCATAGTTATAAGCTATAAGCTGTTAGGCTATAAGTTAGAATCACTTTCCCACAGCTCTAGCAAACGGGGCCATAGAACTGTAGCAAGTATTCTAAGCCACTACAAATAGAAAGGTAAAATGGTATCATACTATTCCTCATAAAAGCAAATACCTCAACCAAATGCAAGTATTTTTTTGATAGGTGACAATATTAATTAGCCGAAAAAAAAAAGAAAAAAAAGGAAGAGAAATACAAGAAAATGGAAGACAAGAAGTCCACTAAAGAAAACAAAAGAGAAGAAAAAGGAAAATTGAATCAACATAACAAACTACAAGTGACACACCGTCGTCCAATCCCTAGAAATAAAAAATAAACGAATCCCCTTTAAAAGAGAGGAAATTGAAGCCTAAAAAGAGGATAGAAAACACACTCTATCCCAAAGCAAATTAATGTTCTTGACTTTGTCCTCAAAGACCTTAGCGTTAGAGGTGTTCATAGATAGGTTCGACTCGAGTTTACCCTTGGTCTACAAGTTGGACTAACACCATCAGGTTAGGAAATCACTCAACTGTTCTCAATCGATTTATTGTTCAAAATCGACCAACCAAACATACTCAATTTGGCAGTCAATTTAGTCAATTTCAAAGAACTATTAAAGAAAAGAGGGCGAGCGAAAAAATGGAGAAAATGGGATTGAAAGTTCAAAATCAAAATAATAAATCTCAAACAAATTTATGAGAGAAAAAGATGGAGGGAAAAAATGGGGAAAAAATGGAAAAGAGTGGAAACTCAGCATGCCACTAGCATTGCCATTGCCACTGCCATTGCTCATCGTTGCCGCTGACATCACTCATTGACATCTCCACAGTTTGTAACCAACATCATTCGCCACCAATGAAAAGGGGAAAATGAAATATCAAAGAGGAGAGACGCGAGAGACACAAAGATGGGGGAGACTAAGAGATTAAACAACATGTGTCTACGAGGCTTAGAGAGAGAAACGAGACACCTAATGAGAGAGAGCATCTGTGTTATGGGGATTAGGTTTGTTCTTGGAAGTTGGAATGTGAGAGAGAGAAATGAGGCACTTGATGAGAGTGTGCATGTGTGTTCTAGTGTTTATGTTTATTCTTGGACATTGGAATGTGTGAATGTGTGTGTGTGTGAGAGAGAGAGAGAGAGAGACAGAGAGAGAGAGAGATGCTCAAAAGATTTTGAAATTTGGAATACAGGCTGTCAATAATCAACTACATAAGAGATAACACAAGCATGAAAGATAATCCCAAAGGCAATCAATCGCCACCTGGAAGATTCAAAGGTAAATATAAAATCAGAGTCAAGAAAACCAGAGTCAACCATTCAGTAGTTCGAAATGGTCCGTATCTTCTTGGATCGGGTCGATTTAAGCGGGTCCACAATTCCTATGAACAACCCTACCTTGTGTTGTGGTCTAACCAAATAACCTGTAGTATTGAACAAAAGACAACATTCCGCAAAGCTTTGCCTTTCTTATTGGTACCGAAAGCCCTAAAGTCGATTAAAAGTAATTGGGAGCAAGAAGCTGGAGCCACCCAACACATCTGTTAGTTGGAATAACCAATGCCATAAATGCAAGGCCAATGGACAACGCAAAAACAAATTATCCATTGATTACTCATTCCTCCTACACATTACACCATTGAGGGTGGAGATTGCAATAGGGTCTTCTTTTTAAAAAAATGCCGTTGGTCATGAGACTCTTGCGAGCCGAAGTCCACACAATAACCTTAACTTTAAGAGGCACAATCGTTTTCAAAATTGTAGAATGATAGTGAAAATGAGGAACATTATAATTATCAATGATTTTGTCAAAAAACAATTTGCTTGAGAAAATCCCCGAAGAATGAATTGACCAAACCCATTTATCATTGACATTAGTCCTCATGAAAAAACCTTTATGAATACTCAACAAGGATGCCAACTCACTAGTTTTGCGATATTAAAACTTTAAAAAAAAAAAATTAATTACATAATATTGGTGTCATTGGAAAGAGCCATCCATCGATTCAATGGAAACATTATGAGAGCAAACCAAATAGTATAAATATGGGAACAAAACATCGAAGGAAGAATCCCCGACCTAAATATCTTCCCAAAAAATAACACTCATACCATTTTCCACCCTTAAAGAAAGGAAGCGGAAGAAAATAGGAAGGATGCAAGAGATGGATTTCCCCGGAAACCGACTATTTACCCCATTAACCACAATAGAATCCATCCCATTTACATGAGCCCTGCATTTAGTTTTAATAATGAGATGTCACAGAGTGTTACACTCATAGGAAAATCTCCATGACTACTTTCCAAGCAGAGCAATATTTCTTCCCACTATTATCGATGGCAAGACCCCCTTTTATTTAGAGAGAGAGAGAGTTTCACAATTCACCAAATGATCCCTTCTCCCTTCATCTTTTCCCTCTCACAAAAAATCCGTCATCTTTTTTTTGATTTTATTTGCAACCCAACTAGAATCTTAAACAATGACAAAAAATAGATTGGAACACTGCTCAACATTGATTGCACTAGGGTATACCTCCTCCTAGAAAACAATGCTCTCTTCTAACCCTCAAATTTCTTAGAAATTTTCTCTAACCTCGGGCCCAAAATGACTCCACTATGGGATTACCCCCTATAAACTTGAAAGGAAGATGATCAACAAGACATTCCAATAGACTCGACAGCCTCTATAACCTATCCTCCTAAAAACTAATGCCCACAATGTTGCTGTTATTCAAATTATTTTAAGACCCGAGATGATGTCATCTACAAAGTGCATGTGAGATAGAAACTCAATCCCTCTCTACAACGAATCCATCATCAAGACCAACCTCCAAGACCCTATCAACCATTCGTCCCAAAACATCCACCACCAAAGTAGAGAGAAAAGGGGAGGACGTAGGATTGCCTTGCCTGAGACTCCTAAAGCCCTAAAACTCTTTCCTGCCTTACCATTTACAATGATCAACATGTTACAACAAGAAGACAAAAACCTGCGAATCCACCTTTCTCCATTTCACACCAAATCCTTTTCTAAGCACGTAATCCAAAAAAACCCAATCAACATGATCATAAGCTTTCTCAAAGTCCACTTTAAATTACATCCTGCTTATTTATTAGACCCTCTATAATCTTCAACCACCTCATTAGCAACCAACAACACAACATCCAAGATCTGATGGCCCTCAGCAAATGCCCCTTGAACTAGGGGAATAGTGTCTCCCAAAACAACTCTTAACCTTTTTGATAAGACTTTCCCCAAAATATTATGCAATGATGAAATGAAGCTAATAGGCCTAAAGTCACTAATTTTCTTGAACTCCCTTTTTTAGGAATAAAGCAAATAAAAGAGGCATTGGTCCAAGCATTAACCACACCATTCTCAAAGAACTCCTCAAAGACCCTAACCAAAAAAGACCATAACCAAATCCATTTTTTTATGATATCCTGAAAAATTGCCAAGGAAAAAACCATTAGGACCAAAGTATAGAAGAAAAGCATTGTAGATAGCATGACAGGATAAGCCAATGTCCACCCTCTATACAACTCAGTATTTCATGATGCAAGTTCTATAAGTGGTTAAGATAACTGGTCTTCCCAGCATAGGGATCTAATGAGCTCAACCATCAGATCAACACCTTGGTTTTATAACAATGAGAGGTAGTGGAAAAAATAATAAATCCTTCCAACAAATTTAGGATCATTGGCAAGGGGAAAAATGAACTTAGCAAGACATCAACAAAATGAGAGCATCAGCTGTCTGACCTCGAAGTCAGATGTATGATATAGATACAGCACAAAGAAAATGTTGACTTCCTTGAAATAGTGTCATTTCCTTCAACTAGATCAACGAACAAGAAGCTAGACATATAAGAAAATCTCAATTAGCAAATGACAGCAATTAGGAAGTAAACAGGTAGCATCTTACCAAGTATCCCTGATGCTGAGACGTGAGGATTTGACAAGAGTATGTCAAATGGCTGCACCATTTTCAACTTGGGAGCTTTGCTTCTCCAAATGTCAACATTTTTCTTAAAAGAAAATGCATTTTTGATGAACAAACCAGGAAGAAGAGTCATCGCCACTCCACTGGTGAGTTGATCTTCATGCTGCTTAGGTTGTCCCGCATTATGATTGATGCAAAAATGATAACTTGCACCAGAGTCAGAAGCAACTGAAGCCAGATCAATTGCCATTGAGAATGGTACATCCCAGTAACCACCAAGATCATCAACAAAAAGATCTGGCCACGATGCCTCCACCGCTAGATTGTGATGCAAAAACTGCAGAGGCATTCATATCCAACACTCATCAAGCAAAATAGAAGAATACATTTCCAATAAAAAGCATCAGCAAAGAAAGTATATATCGCAAAACAAAAACATTTAACGTGTAAACCATTGAAATTTTCATGGCTTAGCGATATTTGATAGGTACCGGGATAGAAGAAAAAAAATGCGTTGGCATGACAATGTCAGATAATAAGAAGTGCCAACAAATTAGACTTGGAAAAACAATAGAAAAATGAAATAAAAGAAAAGAAGAGACTACAGAAACACAGCTGGATCAACAACAAAATTTCATCTATTTGTTTTTCTTCCCCCACCCCATATAAGGAAGTGAGGAACCAATTCATATCCAAATAAAATTCAGTTAGTAATGCTAAGCAATAAATAAAAACATGAATAAAATCTATAAATAAATAAGCAAACGAAATTCAAAAGTGTCATCATCAGCATAACATTTGAAGCACCACATTTATATAGTATAATCAAAGAGGCCAGGTGAAAGACCCTTGCCTTGTGATGAAGAAGTGCGTTCTTTCGAGTTGTCTTGTTATCACCATAGGCTTCTATGCTAAGGAGCAGAGTATCATCAGGAGTTATCAAGAGCTCTGAACAGAAATAGAGGGCATACAAGGATTTGTTGCAAAGGTGTCTTCCAAGGGTTTTCAGCCATGAAGATTCGGAGGGTTGCATCAATCCATTCTCTTTGACAGAGGATACGAACTTGTGCAAATTGAACTGACCGAGCAAAGTTGCAAACCTGAAGGACTTGCAAGAAGATAGATAGATAGATATCAGTGAGTGAGTGAGTGAATATCAAACTAAAAAGAAAAAGGTAATGCGGGATCGGCATGATTAATTATTGCAATAGTAAGTGGTAGTGGTAGTGGTAGTGGTATTACCAGTATTCAGCGGCAGCAGGAGGAAGGGGGAAAGTAAGAACGCGTTGGAGAGACAAGGAGTGAGGAGGGGAGAAGGAGGGGAGAAAGGGGATGGACATGAAGCGCTGGAAGAAGTGAATCTGCTTGGGTCTGGACAGCCTAGGATGGCAATGGATAACCTACACTAGACTGTGGCTATCTATGGAGATCCAACCAAATACATAGGTTTTTCTCTCTTTTTCTTATCTATTGGTTAGGGTAGGTGATATTCTTTAAATATCCAAAGGGGATGGGTTGGGGATGGAGTACCCACTAATTTCTCCATATGTTTTTTTTTTTTTAAAGATTCACAACTAAAACTAAATATACATTCAATCTTTTTTCTTTTATTTATTTATTTATTTTTTAAGGTTCATAACCATTTTTTTTTTTTTAAGATCCACAACCAAAGCTAAATATACCTCCAATCTTTTTTTATTTTATTTTTAAGGTTCACAACCATTTTTTTTTAATTTTTAAGATTCACAACAAAAGCTAAATATACATTTAATTTTTTTCCTTTTTTTAATTTTTTTTAAGGTTCACAACCATTTTTTTTTTTTTTAAGATTCACAACCAAAGCTAAATATATATTTAATTTTTTTTTTAAGGTTCACAACTATTTTTTTTTTTTTTTTAAGATTCACAACCAAAGCTATACATTCAATCTTATTTTATTTTATTTGGCTCAACAATAAAATCAAATACACATTAATTAACATTGTCACATTATTGTTGTCAAATTTTATGCATATCTAGAATTTTTTAAATTTATTTAAAAAAAAATTAAGGACATTGTCTAGTGTAGGTTTCGGTTTGCTTTTCTATGTTATTTTATTTTGTTGTGTATTGTAATTTTCAGAATGGTTTGCTTGTTCTGAAATTTCAATTAACGAGTATGAATCTATTTGTTTTATGTTATCACACAATTTATACAACATATATATATATATATATATATATGAATGTATTTGAAAATAAGAAAATTGTAGAGAATCGAAACAAGCATGAGTCGTGATTGGTTAGAAATGATGGGTACAAAGATTTATTTGTTGGAAAAATAAAAAGGGAATACAAAGTCTTACTAAATAATTTTTTTTTAAAATAAGAGAATTTTTCTTAATTATGAACAGATTTAACTGAAATCAGCTTGTTTCCCAATGTTATGCTTCATTTATTTAGATAGAAAATATTTTTTATAAACATTAAATATATTAAAAAAGAAAGAAAAAAGATTGAAGGTATATTTAACTTTTGTTGTGAACCTTAAATAAAAAAATAAAAATAAAAAAAAAATTGTTAACATTAAATATATTAAAAAAGAAAGAAAAAAGATTGAAGGTATATTTAACTTTTGTTGTGAACCTTAAATAAAAAAATAAAAATAAAAAAAAAATTGTTAACATTAAATATATTAAAAAAGAAAGAAAAAAGATTGAAGGTATATTTAACTTTTGTTGTGAACCTTAAATAAAAAAATAAAAATAAAAAAAAAATTGTTAACATTAAATATATTAAAAAAGAAAGAAAAAAGATTGAAGGTATATTTAACTTTTGTTGTGAACCTTAAATAAAAAAATAAAAATAAAAAAAAAATTGTTAACATTAAATATATTAAAAAAGAAAGAAAAAAGATTGAAGGTATATTTAACTTTTGTTGTGAACCTTAAATAAAAAAATAAAAATAAAAAAAAAATTGTTAACATTAAATATATTAAAAAAGAAAGAAAAAAGATTGAAGGTATATTTAACTTTTGTTGTGAACCTTAAATAAAAAAATAAAAATAAAAAAAAAATTGTTAACATTAAATATATTAAAAAAGAAAGAAAAAAGATTGAAGGTATATTTAACTTTTGTTGTGAACCTTAAATAAAAAAATAAAAATAAAAAAAAAATTGTTAACATTAAATATATTAAAAAAGAAAGAAAAAAGATTGAAGGTATATTTAACTTTTGTTGTGAACCTTAAATAAAAAAATAAAAATAAAAAAAAAATTGTTAACATTAAATATATTAAAAAAGAAAGAAAAAAGATTGAAGGTATATTTAACTTTTGTTGTGAACCTTAAATAAAAAAATAAAAATAAAAAATAAGTTGTTAACATTAAATATATTAAAAAAGAAAGAAAAAAGATTTAAGGTATATTTAATTTTTGTTGTGAACCTTAAAAAAAAAAAAATAAATAAAAAAAAAAAAGTGGTTGTTAACATTAAATATAAAAAATAAAAATGGGGATTAAAGTGGGTTGGAGAAAATCCATACCCATTAAAAAATGAGGAGGGTGGTACCCATGGGGAATGGGGAATGAGGAATGGGAAAAATTTATTATAGGGGAATGGGGATGGGGAATTAATATCCACCCCATTGCCCCCCATTGCCATTCCTACCTGGACCCTCTACCGCACATACCCAACGGCAGAGGCTGCCCTGGCACCGCCCTACCCACCCCCTCCAGGGTTACGGGCGTCGACACATCCAATTCCCAAAACCCACCGTCCATTGCCCATCTCAACTTCTTCATTTCTTAATGCCCAACCCCCACAAAAACCCCTCCCTCTTTCTTCCACAAACAATATCCTACCACTTCTACCGCATTACCCCTCCACCGTCTCTCCATCTCTATCGGCTGCCTCTATTTCCACACCACACCACCTTTCTTCTCAATCACTATTCAATACATATCTTTAAGTATTTTGATAAATAAGAAATTTATTCAATAGAAACCGCAATCTTTCATTTGTATTCTTATTTACATACTTCATTCATAATCTTCTATCTTTACTCTTATTCATTCACGCATCTCATCCACAATCTTTAATCTTTCATATTCTACACCTCCATTTCAAAAACACACACAACGTCCCCCTCCATTCTCTGTTTCATTGTCATCCCAGAGATTTAGGAACAAGTCTAAACTGATCTTCATTCGTGCTGAACACAACTTTACTCCATTCTTCTCTGGTTCACAACCCCCTCCATGGATGCACAGTTCTGGAAAAACCAAAAAGAAAAAATTGTTATAAGTGTTCAGAAATATAGAGTCGAGCTAAGTTCAAAAGTTTGACAGTTAAAAATTGAACAAATGCTATAAGTTTGAAACTTATTAACGGAACATGTGGACTATGTTCGACACTAGAAAATCGAACAATTAGAACTTGTTCAGTTGTAGATAGTCGAACATGAGTATATTGTTCAAATCTAGGTATCCAAACGAATACAAACGATTTACCACTCAGCAAGTACATGAAAATAAAAAAAATAAAATAAAAATGTAAAACTAACATTTTCTTTACTCCATTGTTCCAAACCAATATTGCCAGATGCATCCGTCATTCAGTCTAATCAAAATCTTTAATAATATGTATATTTTTTTGTTTTGGTTTTTTGTTTTTGGGTCTTTAGGTTCTTGAGAGAGAAGATACGTAAGTAACGTTTCAGAATAGAGGTGTGTATTGTATTTATTATTATTCTTTATGGTAATTTTATATAACGTGTATATCATTACCCTTTGTCCTTTGTGATCATTTTACATTAAGTTAATATTGTAATAAAAAATTAATTAATTAATGGTATGCCTTAAAATAAAAGGTAGTGTGTAAATAGAGGCACCCCTCTCTATCCCCCCACCACCAACACTCCATCGTGTTACATATTTATTATAGGTAATTCTTTTGAGGGGTAATCCTCTTTATGAAAAATGCTAGGCACTTCAATTTTTTTTTAAATATTTTTATCAAATATTTTACATTGGTATAAAATTCATATTATGTGTGTTTTATGTAGATTTCACGCTTATATAAAATATTTCATAAAAATAATAATAAAATATTTAGAATCTCTAACATTAATCGCTCTTTATTTCTTTTTCTTTTTCTTGTTCTTGTTTTTGTGATATTTTTCTAGCCCGGTGTAATAATTTGTTGTTTTTGGTGATTTTATATATTTTTAATTATAAAATATTTAGATAAAAAATTATGTAATATTAAAAAAAAATTACAAAATGTTAGAATGAATTACAAATTATCGTAAATTTATCAAAAAAATACACAATATTTACTAAAAAAATTGCATAATATACATTATAAAATAGATAAAAGTTACATCTATACTATATATATAACCAAATATAGTGGCCTCTTAAAAAATTCCAAATTCTCAATCCTAATATCTCATTAAACTTTTTCCTAGGTGGCACGTCTATTATTCTCTGATTCTATTTTCCTATTTTTTTCTCTTTTTTATATATTTTATTTTACTTTTTAATTACTTAGGCATGGACATATATAATAGGGGAACTAACCCAAAAGTCCAAACCCAACATATTACGCCCCATTTAGACCCAAAACAAATTCAATACTTCATTAAGTCCTCAAATTAGCAATCAGATGAAAATACCCTCACATATCATCCAATTTACACGTGCGCAACCTCCACCCATGATCATCTCACACCAGTCTGATCAATACATTGTCGCATCTGTGCTGCTCGACTCTGCATTCTCAGTCCTCCATCTCTCCACTGTTCGACTCCACTACCTCTGAAACCCTACCCTAACCACAAAATAAAGCTGTTCATCTTCTCCAATCGTCGACTCTCAACAACATAACATGAAGCCATTCAACTTCTCCAATCGGCGACTCTTAACAACACGAAGAACTATCACGACTCTAAAAAAATTTCATAGTTTGACTTCTGATTCACAAAAATGGGGAAAAAAATTAAAATATCTCTTCACTTTTTATTTTTCATTCAAATTTGTACATTTTCTTTGATATTTTGTATATATCATACCGTTTCAATAACACTTTCATAAAAAACCCTTGTACAAACACATTTTACATACTTCAAAATGTATAAACCCTATTTTACATACTCTACATACGATTCTAGATCTCTTTTTCGTTTTATTCTTGCGTAGATTATATAATCCCCAATTTTTACATATTCTAGTTATGTAATCTCCTGTTTTTACACATTTTAGTTATACTTAATCTGTTGTTTTTACACATATTCCCTGTTTTTACACATTCAACTTCTTGTTCTTGTTTTTATTCTTGTTGTTGTTGCTTCTTCTTGTTGTTAAATATTGGCTTTTCTTCTTCTTATTGTTGCTACATTTTGTTGAATACTTCATCTTCTTGTTGTTATTGTTGTTGTTTACAAAATACAATGGACTGTTCTTATTGTTGCTAGTGTTTATAAAACTGAAACATCATATAGTTTCATCACTCTACAAGTAAATATCTAAATTTATTCAAACTGCAAATGAAATTGCAAAACTACACAATTTAATCACTATTCAAAACAAATAGGTAAACTTATTATAAAGTGTAAATCAAACTGCCTAATTATACAGTTTTGTAACTATTAACAACAAATAGATATAATTTAATATTAAACTGCATATAAAACTGTAAAATTATACAGTTTTGTCACTATATTACTCATGCCCTGCTGTTGCTTTCATTTTTTTAGAAATAGTGGTTGAAAGATATTAGAAGAAGCAAACCAATATGTCCAAAAATCCAATCAGAGATTTAAGTATCTTCCCCTTTGACTCTCCTTCACCCATATCCACTGAAATGCCACCATCTCCCTTTTAACAAAAAACCCAACCACCACAACAAAAAACAACAAAAAAAACCCACAAAACAACCACACTACCTACAAGAAAAAGCCCAAGAACTACACCATAGACCACATCCACACAACAAACACCAACCACACCTCCAACCACAAAAATAAAATAAACAAAAGAAAGCCAAAAAAAAAAAAAAAAAAAAACAAAAAGGAGCTCCTCCAACAAAAAAAGAAGAAGAAAGCTCCAAGAAAGCCAATCAAGTCCCGAAACACAAACCAAGGCATCAAAAGGGAAAAAAGGAACAGTCCATGCAAAGAGAGTCTAACAATTTAATTACCGTTTCAACATCAGAACGGTAATCAAACTGTTCAAGGGGGTCAAATTCATAACAACCCAAAAGACAGAGTTGCAAAAAACCCCTTTTTAGGCCATTATAAATGCTCTCTCCTCAACACAACTGAAGGCCTCTTGGTGCAGATGCTACAATTCCATTGTAGTAGAAATGACAACACTTTACAACAAAAAAAAGAGAGCATTTACACTTGGCAAAAAGAAAATGAAACTCAGAAATAGTGATGTAAGGCACATTTTTGGTATCGACCGTGGAGAACACAACATCACCACCAAATCCTATGCAAGGCCAAAAGATTTTGAGCTCTCATTTTACAAACGAAGATGCAAATCAGTGAAGAGACTGGATGCCAGGTCATTGACCAAAATGCTTTAAGAAACAAAAAAAGGGGAAATCAACCAATGACCATCAAGATCTTGCAAGGGTCATCACCCTTTACCTGTGCCTGCAACTTCTCATGCCTACAACAACACATACACTCAGTTGGAGTTTTCTCAAATATGTTGACAATCTTAACAACATCAAGAAGTACAATTGAGTTGAAGCAATAAAAGACACACTGATGAATTCAATGACAAATGCAAACAACAACCCAAGGCATGTCACTGGTTGCGTCATATTACTCTTGGTAAACACACTACTCAACTACTTCACACAAAAATATCAAACATCCAACTATCTCAAACTATCTAACATATTTCAATTTTTTTTACAGTATTGGTACTACGAGCACAGTAAACTCCTCCGACCATCCAACAAAGAAGGCTTCCCAAGGTTTTATGAAGTGGAACCTTGGCATAATGTACTCCAAGTGGAAACACATCAGCCTTGTTGACTTTGAAAAGGTATTCAAACTCTTCTATACTCTCAAAGCACAAATCTATTCAACACTTCTTTCACAGTCATTACAGTAACAATCATGTTATGAAATAGTAAAAGTTTGTAGTTTCAAAGCACAAACCTATTTAACACTCCTCTCACTTATGTTATGAAACTACAAAATTTGTGGTTTCAACGCACAAATCTATTCAACACTCATTTCACGTTCATTACAGTAACAATCATGTTATGAAACTGTAAAAGTTTGCAATTTCAAAGCACAAATCTATACAACACTCGTTCCACAGTAATTACAGTAACAATAATGTCATGAAACTGTAAAAATTTTCAGTTTCAAAGAAAAAATCTATTTAACATTGATCATAGTAACATTATGTTACGAAACTATAAAAGTTTACAGTTTCAAACAACATATTTTCAACACTTCACTCACATTACTCACAGTACAAATCATGTTATGAAACTGACCAATTTTCCAATATATATGCCATATTGTTCCAATACAGGTTGACCAAAGTGCTTTAACTCCAACTGAACAAAAAATACAGTTGTTGCATATCAATCAAAACACATCAACAGACTCTTCAGTAAAGAAACATGACTACAAAAAAGACAAGAAGCGAAAAAAACAAACCAAAGCAACAAAAAAGAAACTTCTAGACAGTGATGAGGAAGACTTTGTCGAAGAAGAACACCAATCAGAATCAGAATCAGAAAAAGAACAAAAACAGAAAAACAAAGAAAAGAATGTAAGAACCACAAA